ATAAACAGTCTTCAGAGTTTTAAAGGACACATAGAAAAAGGCGAACAGCAAGTGACAAGAATGGTTCTGTTTGAGACTAAAACTGGAAAAAGGAAAAGACTTTGTACTTACTTATTTGCTTTGATTGAAAACTTTTATTTATTTATTTATTTATTTATTTTTGCGGAACCGGGGATTGAACTGGGGCCCTTGCACTTTCCAGGCAAGCACTTATTCTACCGAGCTATCTCCCCGGCCCCTTTGATTGAAAACTTTTAAAGAGGTATATATAACTTTCATAAGCATTAAACATATTGTCTATGCAAAACTTCACATCAGGTTAAAATATCAACAGCAAAGGAAAAAGACATTTTCAAACAAAGACTGAGCAAGTTTACCACTCACAGACCCCAGGGATATTCTCCAAAAGAAAGAAAATTGGGCAGGACTCTGGGGATGTAATGCAGAAGAAGTAGACCACCTGCTTTTTAGCACATACAAGGTCCTGGATTTAATTTCCAGTGTGAACAGTTGCCCGGCTAGCTCAGTCAGTGTGGCAAAAACAAAGAAGAGAAAGAAAAGAGAGGGAAAAGGGGAGGGAACAGTGAGCAGGAGGGGAAGAAGGGGGAAGACAAAAAATATATATATAGAAAATAAGTGACATAATCAATAGTGAAAAAATAAATTATTAAGCATATTGGTAAAATTTTCAAAGTGCTAACTGAAAAAAGCAATGCTAATGGGTGATAAAAACAAATTTGACAATTTCTTTTTGTTGTTGTTGTACTGGGTTTCACTACGCAGCTCAAACCCACAGTGATCCTCCTGTTTTCAGCCTCCTTACCACTTGGATTATAGGTGTGCACCACCATGAGTGGACTTGGTCTCCGGCTTAACGTGCCCAGGGGTCGGACCGGCGCAGCATGTGGTGCCAAGGATCAAACCCTGGTCCCTGTGCTTGCCTAAGCAGGCACTTAGTCCTCTGAACTATCTCATTGGCCCTAATATTAATTATTTATTTGATAGGAATACAGAAGGAAGAAAGATCAGTTCTCTGATGAAGCTGGGCACAGTAACGTACACCTGTGACTTCAGCTGTTTGGGAGGCTGAGGCCAACCCTGAAAACTTAGTGAAATTCTATCTCAAAAAAAAAAAGTCTGGAACCTGGGGAGATAGCCCAGTAGAATAAATGATTGCCTGGCAAGCACAGGGTGCTGAGTTTAATCCCTGGTACCACAAAAAAAAGTCTGAGGATTTAGTTCAGTGGTAGAAAATTGGCCTAGCACATGCAAGCTTTTGGGTTTAATCCTCAGTACCATGAACAACAAAGAACATTATCACAGTAGTAAAGATTAAAATGAAAAGTAGAAATAGAATGCATACTTGCCTAATGAACTTATTCTTGTGTAGAAAAAGACTAATTATCAAGGCTGAGGGAGGGGTTGTTGAGATGGTTCGGTAGAATAAGCATTTGCCTGGGAAGTGCAAGGGCCTGAGTTCAATCCCCGGTT